CTCGACCTTGCATCGGTCTTATCAACACCCACAGCGGGAGTCGAACCGCGACAGTGCAGGACGGTAGTTTGACACGCTAACAACTCGGCTACACTGCCACGAGTTCCCTTGAGTCACAGGGCATAAGTGAATTTCAAGGAAGGCCAGGCTTCTTTGCTATATCATATTCTTTTGGTGGGAGTTCCGATGAAGCAAACGTATGTTTGCTATAGCAATCGACAACGTTACTTATATTCGTAAGTAAGTAGGGTCTCGAGACTACCAGTAAATAAGTGTAATGAGTTGTATTCACCCTATTTCGTCAGCTCAACTCATCATTGTGGGAAAATTCTACTACCAGTCCTTCATCACCTTAGACGAAATAGGGTGAATACATCTCATTAGGATTTACTGTGTTGCTAAACTGCACTGATGGATGACTATCCATATACATAACTAGCAATTTCTACACTGAAAGTGCTTCTTTCACTAGGACGCTCTTCAATTTAGCCATGTAGTTACTTGTTTAAATTTGGGAAAAACACGAGTTCTTATTAAAATATCGTCCCTTTTCATAAAAGTTACCGTTAAAAGTAAAATATGTGCAGTAGGTCATTTAGCTGGCTAAATATTGGCTATATATTTTAATTTTTACTTATTATAAGGTCTAGATATTGATCAAAAGCCAAGTATAGATCCGGTATTGCTTTGCTTACTGGGATGTAAGTGTACTTCTACACTACGTCAAAACCAACAGAAAATCTACATATAATATGCGCTTACCATATTTCGTATAAAATGATAAGGGTACTAGTAGTCGAATTTTCCCACATTGATATGAATAGTCCTTGCTTTTGCATTGCATTTCAGTAGATCATATAAATGAGATGTAGTCTTAGCGAGGCTTCTTTTGCCCAAATTCCGAATCTCCTTTATAATCTAATGGCAAAAAGACCATTTTTGGTCTAACCTTCAATGTTTCTGTCTCAGGTACCCCATATCTTGAAGGTGATAATAAGACCCAATTAAACCTGGATAGCAGTTTGTTTCTGATATATAAGAGAATGAGGACGTCAACGAAACAATGCAGGTCTCTCTAAATAATTATGTGCGGATCGACTGTTTGTACCAAATATTATATTGTGCATATTTAATCTTAAAACGATATAATATTGTTTAGACATTTTTCTAATAACTGCACTTGTATATTTCTATAGCTGATTTATGCATTTGAATCTGTGTTTTTTGCGCGTATTTCTGGCTTACTGAATTAGATGCAGAGCCATAATACCTTGCTTCCCAAAAGTGATTATCATCCAGGATTGACCGCAATTACTACCTCGCCTAGTTCTCGTCAGTACCCTCAGCAGGATTTGAATCATGCTTGCACAATGTATAGTCTAGACAAGTTGAAACTTACACCACACTACCATGACTGCCCCTGAGTCAGGATAGGCGTAAATTTCAAGGAAGGCCAGGTTTTTCCCATATCATATATCTGTGTTGGGATTGTCGGCAAGGCAAACTTTTACAATCAGCTCCATTAATTATATTCGGTTTTAGTGGCTTTAGAAACAACCAGTAGGATTAAATTGTTGAGACTATACACTGCCATGCCAGAAATCAAAGTCCGCTAGTGGTTTTGATGAAGCCATGAACAAGTCGAAAGTACAGTCCATCCTGATAACCTTTGGGAATCATGACTATGCGAATTTAAATGGAAACTTGATGCCTACTCAAGGTCGTGGAAAAATCTAACTAACCACTCTTTATCTTTTATCTCATTTCCTATTTGCCAGTATCTAAAATCAGAAATCGATCATTTGTACTCGTTCATCATTGTGAAACTTTGAGTTTTATGATATTATATTCTGTGATGGGATTGCCGATGAAGCAAAGTTGTATTTGCTTTAGCAATAGACTACATTACTCATTTTTGTTTTATGAGCAGATGTTCGATACTATCAGACTAGAACCACGATCTAGCTAGGCTGAATTTTTGTATGTGTTATTAAAGTAGCAGTGAGAGTATCTTTGCAAAAATCACGCCTTTCTTCTATTTTAGTATATAACCTGGTTTTTCGGATTTCTAGTAGACCATATGTTTGAAATGTATTCAACCTATATCTTGGCAATCTGGTTTAGTGTTTATCATTTATAGTCCCGCTCGGGAGGTTGCTTAAACCTAGGCGAAGTCGAAACTGCAGTCTACCCTGCTTTTGGTAAAGCAAGGCTATGTGAAATCTAATTAATACTTAAGGCCTACTGATCATTGGCTACCAGTCCTTTATCAAATTAAACTAAATAGAATGAATGCATTTCATATATATTACCTATTGATAGTCTCTAAAATCGACTTATGAAACTAAAAACATCCAACACTTTTTTATAGTGTTAGATATTTTCAGGATTTTATTTCTTTTTATTTTCAATGGCATATATTCCTTAATACCAGCATGGTTCCTGCTTCTTCTATAAATTGGCTAAGGAGTTTCTTTGTCTATTTTTTATATTATTTAAGATTATTTTGTGTATCCATATTTAAACTTTACTAATTATCATCCATTGTGCCTGA